TTTCGCCTCTCCGATTCCAGCGGGGAATAAGTTTGTTTTCATTTTTTATATTTTGTTTGTGCTTTGAAGTTTCTTTAGCGGTTAGATTTGTTTTACGGGTTAGGGTTGCTAGCCCTATGCCCAACCTTCCCTGTATACCCGGGCTTAGGACCGGCTAGTAACTAATAAACTAGTTAACCAGGCGAAGTTTAACAACATATTAATTTGCTTAGAACGCTTCCAGATATCTGCTAATATTTCCTTTAATGGTTTAAAAAAAATATGTATTCACACTAAGCCCACTGGTTTCTAGGTACGGAAAAAACCAACTTGTTTGTCCGTTACCTCATAGAACAAATGTTTTGAGAGTTTGTGGCGCATTGCCATCTTCATATGGACAGAAATTACTTTAAAGCTTTTGTTTTACTGAACTGCTACTTATTTAATGCTGAATGGTTAGTAAAGTTCGAACTCAATTAGTAGTAAAAACTTCACCTAACATATTCCTGTCTAAGTAGTTGGGTTGATGATTGGTAGCTCTTGCGCAGTTGCTCTAATGACTACTGGTTGGAACTGTCAATTCAGTGTTTAGATACTTAATTATCGGTTGCAGAAGTGACAAATTTTAGTCTCATTTTATCTACTACAGTTTTCGTATGCATCTAGTATCGCTATGATTCTGCGTTCGCGCTAGTTTGCGAACCGACAGAAGTAAGCGAATATGAACCATGGGAATTCCAACCAAGCAAGTTCTGTTCCTCATTGAGACGTGGTGGATTCTCGTCCTAGGATGAAGTACCTGTCCAGTGCTCTAAAGTCTTAAGATGATTCTCCAAGTGATATCAGTTGGTAATACATATTAGAGAAAAATATCATATTTTAGAGGATAAAATAGTAATGGGGTCATGATGTGTAGTCACTGCAAGTGAAGATTAACAAATACTTTCGTGTGAATAGTAATACATGTTTATTTATCCATGATGATAGTTGTTCATCCTTTCGATGTGTGGTTGTATTGCTATGGAGCTGTGGCTCATTGGTTCTGGGAGATGACTTTTAACCGATGGATCATGTGTTCCAGCGCTGCTTCATCTATTGAGGTTTGGGCAGTTAGGTAGTATCATCAGCCTTCACAAAATAAGTGTGGCTCATTGCCTGCTGAATGAATGTGCGCAAGGTTGCTAAGTGTATTTCGATATCGGTTGTATTGGTCACTTTAAGATGCGTAAGATGTTTTCTTTTCCTAAAAATCTACTAAGTCAAAGAAAATATTGTCTGAAATGCCGAAAGCTTATACTTTTTCATGTTTTTCAACTGATGAAAGGTGGATAAAACTCTTAAAATTAAAACTGGATATGCGCACTGCTGATTATTGTCTGTTACAGCTAAAGGCATCAGGAAACTGGTTTTCCTGTACCTTGGTGTATATATGTAGTTTCATATCTATCATCTTTGAAAAGAGAAAATTGGTGTTTGAATGGTTCTACTAATATCTACCAGGTTCTCAAACAGGTGTTCATATTGTAAAAAGAAACACCGATTAAACAAACTCGTACTTATTTTCCCAACAATTGATGAACTAACTGAGACATTTATCACCGATAAATGTGTTAATAATGTGTATTAAAAAAATACGTTTGCCTATCTTCAGAAATATCAACCTGCATCTTAATGATTATCATTTTTATTGTATGCGATCATTGAATTCAGCAATATATAGAATCATGTAAAGGTATATTATCGAAAGATAAAACAAATAATGAATATTGTGTCGCAACAATATATTTGAAATTGGCAGCAGGCTGATAATTTTTATCTACTTGAAGGTTTGATGTTTGATCGCTGCTGACTAGAAAAGCCTACAAGTTTAAAGTTTACAACTTTACGAACCTATTTCTATTCTCTTTTCAGAAATGTAAACAAAAAGGTATTATACATTGTTTAATTTCATTCGTCCCTTAGAATGACGGGTCCGCATAGAACCTGGTGCATCAGTTCAAGTATTCACTCCTTATAGCTACGGGCAGAGAAAATATAGGTGGAAAACGGATTGTATAAAAGCAGGGAAAATATATGAGAAGAAAAAGAAAAGGAAGAAATTCTGTGATGGTCAATAAAAAGATTCAAGACTTCGAACGTAACTAAGAATGAATGCACCTTCATCATTTTGATCAATTTAGATCAATAAAGAAGGGATGTCCCTAACCGAAAATTCACAACGTCATGAACGCAGTCAGGTAGTCTGCTTCTTTTTATATGACTCAGCTCAGTAGCTGAAGACTTCATGGGTTGATGCCATGTTACAATATGTTCGTCAGCCCTTTTCGTAAACTCTTAGCTCATAATAGGCAATGCTTGTTTGAGCCACCTTGGTCGCTGAAATTCTACATCGTCGTCAAATGACCTGTTTTCCTTGATTGTATCCTATAGCAGTAATAGGAACCAATTAACTATGAATTTCGTATATCATCTAATTCTGAAATTTAAATGCCAGGTAAATTTTCTAAGTTAACTAACTGTGCTTGAGTTACATTTTAAGGAATCATGACAGCTCTTAATATTGACTATATTATGGTTATTTTCTTTATATCAGTGATGAAAGAGTACACTTTTAACGCAAACTTGGTTGATGTTTTTTCAGTTCTCTTCAAAAATTCCAATATGTAAGGTGCTGCGATTGTAAATGATTTCCTGCAGCTTAATAATTTTTTTGTCAGTATAAATGAGTTATTTACTTGTTACTTTGTCGCCTTACGATCATATATACATATCAACATACACAAAACTGTATTGTAATTGCTAAAAGACACTTTTTTAAAAATAAAATTTTCACTAGAATCAAATACAACTTTTAAAGTCATGTCACATGAATTATCTTATATACTCCTCTTCTTTTCTCGTCTCATCTTTAACAAAAAGTTTTTCTTTTATTGATGATGATGACAACGGCGACGAAACACTGAATAGTGTTTTTTATTCTCAGCCAATTAATTATTTACTATGAATGTGTTTTATATTAATAAAGAAATAGAAAAATAAACTGTCATTTAGTGTTTTCCATTGACTATTGAACAGTTGTTAGCGTGTCATCCAATTGAATTTCAATAAAAGTAATTAATTATTTTTACTACAATCGTTTATAATAATTTTTGTATTATTGTAGTAATTTCATCTGTGTATACGATAGAAAATGAACCATAAAGCAGAAGAGGATGTTAATTACTTCCGTTGAAAGTAAATAAGTTATACCTTAGTCTTCCATTCTTTTAGTCTTCGAATATGCATAGAGTTGTAAAAATAGTGTTTTATGACAGAAAAATACAAATGGAAAAACCCAGTAAAAACAAAACATGAGATATTATTATTATAATTTGTATTCCTTTTTCAATATTCACATACTCATTATTACTGATTGGATGTATTTTTGCATAATCTAACTTCAATTAGGTAATCATTACAAAATGATACAGTTGTGTATAAAAAACAAGGCGGAAATAAGAAAGAGCGGTCTATTGGTTTGTTACCATATAGGTTTGGTTTGCTAAACTCCCTTTTTTTAAATTATTTTCTCTCATATTTGCTTCCTTTTGTGCCACTTAATAACTCTACACTTGATGTCGGAAAATGTGTTCATTGAAAAGTGATGAAATGTTTCCATAACCAGAATTTAATAGTATTTATATTAATAATTATTGTAAGATGCCGAGATTAAGAGCTTTAAATGAATATATTGTTTTTCAACTTTTTGCGCAACGAATACTATATTTTCCGTTTTTCCTCTTTCAACTTTCATGCTTATAATATTATAATTTCAACAGATCTGAAAGGATTTGAAGAGATTTTGCACTTCGTTATCTGTATTTCTAAGGTAATTGTAGGTGTATACAGCTCATGATGTAAATGCTTTAACTGGCTCTTAAGTTGTTATCATCGGTAAAAGGATTACTGACACATAAAGGAAAGCATCTAAAACTATAACCGCTTTCCCAGAGTATATTCCTAGTAAAGCAGTAAAGTTTCATCTTTCCTGCTATTTATTTGTTTGACCAATTTATTTAACTTCTTGGTTTGCTACTTGTAATTTCTCGTTGCTATGCAGGGTCGAAAAGCTTCACCTCCGTTAATTGATAGGCTCCTATGTGGATACCTTGATACTGCGGTATATTCATGGTGTTATATCTGTCTTGGTGACTAGCAGTGGAATTCAAGACTGACGTTTCGTCCTATTTGGGACTCGTTAGCTGGATGTACCTGCACCCCAGTGAATGTTGTTCCCACTGAAACTCGGACATAGCACCCATTACTTCAAACTATAAAGCGTTATCTAATAGGCCATTAAGGCATGAGAGTCACCTTTCGTGCAACAGGTATAAGTAGTTTTTTTGATACTCGTGATTCCCCTTTGTTAAGCAGAGCCGAATTGCTCGACCTAGCACGAAACACGCCTCCTGGATTTCCCTGTTAGTTATCAAGATGAATATAATATTATTTAACTTTTTTTGGTATTATTATGTTGTGCTTTTCTAGATTTTCATATTGATAAGCTGTATAATCTACAATGTTTGGTTTCATAACCTGAATTTACATGGATCCATATATGAACCTAGTATTCTTCTCTTCAAATTCCAGTGTTTATAATGTGGTTAATTACTTTCAGTAGGCACCTTTTGCTCAACGCGTATAACGGCTCTTGAACCTTGATATCTTTCCTGTAGTTGGGTTCTGTTAAGAATTATAATCTATAGTCGCTCATCCACCTGTTTGCCATAGAGTTTTTTAGTATCTTGGAAATTGTTTCGATTCCGTTAAAATGTTTAATTTATTCATTCTTTTCATCCTGTTTTGAAGTATGTTTGTGTTATCGGAAACCTTTGTTAAATTGAAATACTCAAGAATTTCTTACTACGAATATGTTTGATATTCAGTGTACTTGTATTCGTTTCTTTATGTTATCAACCTTTTGGTATTTTAGGTTATTTCGTTGTGATATGTTAACCTCTATGTATCATTTGTTTTTACAGCTTGCTTCAGTTTCTCTATTGGGTGATTGGATTTCAAGACGAATAATGACTAAGACTATAAAAAAAAGCAAAACGGATTCCGATTGTGATCCTTATCCTTATATGGTTAGTTTTCATTGTATTGTACATTTTGTTTATCATTTTTCTTACCATAACATGTCGATTTCAGATTATTTGGTGTTACAGTGTGTAGAAAGATTGTCAAAATCTACTTAAGAAGCTTTACATGCCTAAAGTGAAATATGATAACTGTTTTAGCTGAAGGATTTCAAGCATTTTTGCAATGCTATGAAGAAATGAGGGGAAGCAGCAACACTGAAGATTATTGAGAAATCCAAGCGAATGCAGAATCTGCATTCATGAGTCCTCAGATTTTAAAAAACGTTTCGTTAATACTTCGATGATGGACATAGTGAAGATTAAAATGAGTTTAAGGAGCCTGATAATATTATTCATGTTACAGTGACTAATGAGGAGGATAGTTAACCCCTTCACTGCCGGCCTCGAAATAATAAATGATACGGATATTGGGTCACTTCATGTTCATAAAAACTAATAAGTACTTTCAAAAGGTTTGCAAAATGATGTGCCATGTTTACTGTCATCCAGCCTTTCTTCAACCATGCCTCACAATGAATGTCTACATGAAGTTCTCAAGAAGTACGGGTGCGAGCCCAATCACCAGCGTCAACCGTTACGCAGATACCGAAGGGGGTTTGAATCCTCCACACACATGAGACAAGATAGTTGCTTTTCATAATAGTAGTTTATTATATCAAAAGGCCCGAGGTGGCCAGACTAAAACATGACACCAGTGTATGAAGTCTCTGACTGTTGGTTTGAGCTATGTGAGGCGATGCAGACTAGGTGGTTGGGGTCTGCGGGACAAGAAAAAACAGTGGTTGAAGACTGACTGTAGGTGATATGGCTGAGAACCGATGTCACTGGCGCAGATGTATACAGACAATATCCTCATCTTAACGACGCTATACTGGATCTCACCATTTTCTCATCCTTCCTTTCTCTCTTTTTCTACTTTACATTTTTTCTGACTGAATCTTCTTATCTTCATCTTGCTCCTCACTGCCTTCTTACTTGATGTACTGATATGAGCTGTGGCACCTCAGACCGTTACGCAGTAATGCCTGGCCCTATTTTGATATTGATTGGTATCAAAAACTATGTTCATACTAGAAATTGAACAACAAGATTGACCGCCTTTTCTATTCACGGAAAAACTGAATGATTAGCAACGAGCGGAATCTGATAGCTCTACCAAGTCACTGCAAAGATACATAAAAGTGGTGACTGAAGTATATAAAATTTGGTTTTCCATTTCGTATTCGGTTTAGGTCAGCCGCTGTGGATACTCATCAGTGCTGATGAAACTGAACAAAGCGTCCTTTGATTTATTGTGTGTTACATTTCCCTATTTGCATCGAGGCTTCTGATCCTAGTGGTTAGTGTTTTCAGCTCCAATAAAACATATAACATAGCACTACTCATCGACATACCTTATGAGTTTCGCTATCCTTGACAAATCTTCGTCCAGCGCTAAAATAAGGTTTTACTTAAACGTAGCTTACACTTTAATAGTAATGCTTTCCGACATTATACGTTTCGTTTACAATAAGGCAACCAAGCAGCTTTAGAACGTTTGATTTAGGTCAAGATAATCATTAGATTAGGAAGTAGATTTTTAGCAAGTTTTTGTGTCCTTTGAAATGATCAGAAATTATGATATATATTTAAGTTTTTTTTGGAAAATACTACTGTTATGCCCATTGAGAGTATTGAAAACAATTGAGTAGTTACTGTCAGTTGGTAAACTTTAACTGTTTCGTTGACGTTTTTTGGGTATTAGTCAGTTCCCATAATGGTATGTGGATCATCGTAGTCTGTCATCGAGTTTTTTAATACGAAACATTCCCATTTATCCCAGATTCCAATCAATTTGATATTGGTTTTGTTCGTTCATTCGCCTAAGAGTAATTCATAGCCTGTAAGTTCTTGCTATTTTTGAGCTGGTCTACGTCAAGTAAAATAAAATGGTCATTGAGTGATCTTTTCGACGTTACCACTTTTTTATTATTAATATACCGGTTTTGACTTTTGGTAGGAATAGTTATCTGTAAACGTCCATTATTGGTGACTCATGTGTTGCATATTACTTACGAGTGCATCTCTTGCAAAGTTATTGTGTTGGACAGTATTAATGGATAGATTGTATAGAGGAGTATAAAACCGCTGAAAAAGTTCAAAACCAATGGATCCACTCTAAATTTTTTAGAAAAGTCACTTGACGATACCTGTGATTATCAAACTGGTTAGTGAGACAATCTACAGACAGTACCCTTCCAGATAGGTTTGCTGTTAGTTTATTTACCATCATATTCCTGTGTACAGTTAACCCGATAATAAACCTCCTGCGTTTTTACCACTCCTTTAGTTTCTCGAGAATCATGAGAGATCACTAAGGGTGAAATCTAAAGTACATTGTCGAAGCGGTTAACTGGATAATAGCAATTCTTGTTGTACAAGAAACGATCGTGCGTTTCATCTTACTTTATCTGATTAAAAAGATTTATGTCACATGAGGTTAAAATGGATATTAGAATTGTTTTGCCGTAGATGTTAGATTGTTTTTGCTTAACTTCAGTCTTCTTTATTTCATTTTGGTCTCCTTAAAACTTAATATTGCATACACTCACTGTGCTGTATTATAGTCAACTAGCGACGCATCGTCTCTGGTCTGGTCTCATCATCAAAATACATCTGAATTATCCTACAAGGCATATTATCATTCGTTTAAACAAATAAGTGACCAACCTGTTGTCTTTCATATCTTGCATGTTGCTAGGTTAGTTAAAATACATTCAGATAAATGTGTCTGAATTTCAGTTCAAATCTATTCTCATTTATTTTTAATAACCTAATACCTTGCCGGATACACTGAACTCATTTATCTGCATGAATAGCAAATTGAATAGAATACGTTGCTATAGTGATTGTGGCGTAGTTTAATAACTTGAAATATTGGTAGTTATTTTTCAAGAGGTATACCTTGCAAGTAATTGTATTTCAAATGACCATCCGTTTCATCAATTTGATTTTCTGGAATGTCAACAATTTTATTCCAATGACTTTATTTCATGCTGGTGATCACTTTCGAGTGTGAAATTATTTTTTATTAGTATTTAATATCAGTCAGTTAGTTAACTGTTGACAAGTAGAGAGTATGAAATAACTGTTTCATCTTAGTCTGTAGCTTGCTTTTAGCTTACTTGTAGCATATCCTACCTAACTTGGGAATAGTACCAATATTAATCTAATAAAATGATTTTTTTTCTGACAAACATCAGCTCATTATGTTGTATGATCATCGTCTCTTATATTTGAAAAGCTATAATCCTTTTGAGTGCCCTTAAAAATTAGAATTTTCTGATGGGATATCACAGAATTCATCTGACACTGAAAGTGTACGCCATTTTATAACTATGAAGAAAAAAAAATGATTGCTCACATTTGAAATTCTTACATAACTACTAAGAAACCTCTTTATACTACTTCACAGGGTTAATGCAGTAGGTATATTAATTCAGCTGAAATAACTTTACATTTGAATCAAGAATGACGTTGTTGCTTCTGAGTACTAAGAAAGTGCATAAACCATATCATTGATGTCGAAGAGAAATAATTTATGTGGATAATTTCCTCCCTTCTTCTCAGTAATCACACTCAGATAAAAATGTTTCTTTATCAAGCGTATACCTACACTAATCAACTGTCTTAATGATTGTGAATTGATATCAACAAGAAAATATTTTGGTAGAGAAACTTTTTTTATCCTATCTATTGACTTTCATTTTAACTCTTTTACTATTCATATTTCTTTATTTTATATAGGTATTTGTCAATGCATGGAACTTCTATTCTCTATTGGAATCATTGAAACTTATCGGTTATATTCAAGAACATGAATCGCCAACCATTAATTCTTAAACATTTATGTATTTGTAGTTTTTTCCAATGGTTAATGTTGTAACTTCGTAACTAACTTATATATTTCATGAATTAAAGAAATTGTCACTCTTGACTATGCTCTTCTTAATGCACAGTTTGGTCTATTCTTCGTCTACATTTTAAACGTGTAATATTCGAAGCATGTGATTTGGGTATGGTTGTGATTATTTGACTTATATAAGAGAAATTATTATGACTTATTTTGAAGGTTTATGAGGATTTATCGATGTCCAGTTGGTATTCATCACGGACTGACATCAGTTCGGTAATCATTGGAGACCCGGGAAAAATATTATGGGGCTTTCCGGCAGTGCACGTTCTTGACCTCGTCAGGGGACGAACCTAAGACCTTTAGGTTTTGTGGTGAGCACACTGCCTTTAGGTCACTAAGTCGAAATTCAGTGGTCCACATTTTCGCATTATGAGTTATTATTTTGGTTTGTTCTGTTGACAGGAATATGTTGGAACAGTATGTAGTTGAATGTCTTCATCAAGACCTTCTATAGCACACAACCGACTGGCTACCGCTTTATGAAGAGAAACAGGATTAATTGCTTAGAATTATAAAGGTGAGAAGAAGTAGAAGAATAATGCAGCTAGTAAACGAACTCGAATAATCTGGGTAGAAATACATTCACCTTAAGGTTTTAATACCCTGTCGGTATTGCATGTGATATACTTAATAAACAATCTCATTGTATTCACCATGGTTATTCGTATCAGTATTACCTGAGTGTCATCAGTTTTCATGAAAAAAGCATTCCGTTACACTTTCGCCTTGTAGCGCAAAAGAATATTGTCATTTCTACTCCCATTATATACTCTAGGTATTTCTGTTATTCTTGCGAAAAAACAGGGCAACTATAATACTGTTGCATTAAAAAGTAGGGGAAGGCGAATGAAATAACTTTTACAGATTGTTCCATGATCTTTAAGATATAGACAACCGAATAAGAAGAATCAGACAAGCTAGTATAATGGTAATATACCGATGGATATCATTGTTTTACTGTTATTTTGTCTAGAAGTAAGTTCAGGAAACGTGGTCTAGTGGATTATTCGAGGCACCAAACGTTTACTCTCCCTCATGAGACACATTCCAAAGTAATGGAATGAATGTCGTTACGTTTTAGTACTTTAGAATACTGACCTGATAGCTAATGGAAGTGGTAAAGAATCACCCACTTAACCATATAAATAAAGTCATTAGTTGTAAAGGTAATAGGATGTTTGACCATTTAGGCTAGAGGGATTATTATTATTACTACTATCGAAGCAACCAAACTTAATAAATATTTTTTAACAAGGTGAAGTCCTCTTAGATATATGCAGCAAGGAAGTTCTTGTTAGCGGTACTTCTGAATAGCATAATGCACCTAAAGAGGTTAGGAAGTAAAGCACAAAGAATATGGATCATCTGTGTTCTTTATTTTTCATGATTATTGTCTAGAATGTTTCATCTGCATCTTGAAAGTTGTTCAAATAAGTAAAAGGAGTTTTCAGACGAGATTAAACAGATGGTCATCTCATTGTTTATCCAATATTTCATATTTGAACTTAGCATTTTTCAGCTTCATTGTATTTTTTGACATTTAGCCTATTTAATGGGTATTGTTTTTGTTTGGTGACTAGAAAATTTTGGTCGTAGGTGAAGCAATTTAAATTCTACATTCTTTTGACAGGAAATTAAGGATACCGTCGTTGTCAGTTTAAAGCTATTAAAACTTATGTATTTAGTGATGTCTGAAGGGTCACTTTCGGGTACTATCTCTTTCTGTTGATTCATCGCACACTATGATCCAAATGCATTAGTGTTGACTAGCAACTTTTAGAATTTTTCTTATGAGGTTGGGGAGGAGGAGAGTGCTAAGAAATGTACATTTCTGAAACCACGGTAAATAAATATTTTTTTCTCTAATTATGTATTCAACATGAGAGAAGCTGGTTTACAGTCATCTCCAAATGGATAATATTCAAGAAATCTACAATATTTTAGCGTTCTTGATTTTTACAAAACAGAGGACATTAAAATCGATCCTAATGTCAAAAATGTCTGCAAGCTATGAAACGAACAAGAAAAAGTCACTCTTCAGAACATATGCAGTGTTTATGAGTTAAGATCTTTCTCACTCTTAGGTAACATCAAGGTCGGGCAATATTCGATATTTGCGTTACAGCTAGCGGACATGTTTGATCCATCTGTATAAACCCATGTTTCTCCAGATTAACTTCTATTTTTAACCATCACTTCATATGTTTATAGCTTCATTGACTAAAAAGAACTCACTTCAGTGATTTTGAGAGTTGGTAAATGTCCACATAATCATGTAATTCAAGTTAATATCTAAGTCTAGGTGTCACAGTTTACACCAATATAGATTTACACCATTAGAAATAGTTGTTGTGGTTGAAGAGGAACATAAATTAGAAGAGCTGTTGTCCATTGGCGATGGGTTCTACGTATAATATACGTTAAAGTATGCAGGATTTACAAGGAGGTATATTCGCTGTTAACTGTCTTCTGATAGATGAGGTGCTAGAGAAATCTGTTGCATAGCACTGTTTTAAATATATTGCCCTTACAGTCACTAGATAAGTTGATCTCTTAGATTTAATTATCCATATTTTTGGTGTCATTGTGACCATCCAGAAATTTGAGTAACTGGAGGATAGATAGATGTTCATACGGTGATAAAGTCGAATAAGTGAATGGTGCCGGTAATTCCTGCTCATTACACAGTAAATTTCGTGCGAGCACAGTTTCATTGTTTTGAGAAATAGTGGATTGTTGAGAATTGGTAACATATAGTCTTCATCTTACCCCTGCTGACGTCACTGAAGGTTATCTTGATGATATAGATTTCCGAAGTTATTAATTAAATCTTTTGTGCGTTTAATGTTTAGGTTTTCAGGTTATTCGGTACGTATTCATCATAGTCCATTTTATTCATAAACTAGTGATATGTTTATTATGTTACTACCAGTTTCATACATTGTTACAGATCCGACATTTCGTCTACATTTTGAAACACTTCCATAATTTGCTCAACAAAATTTCTTGCCTCTTCCAATGTAAAGCCTTTACGACATTGTGGTATTTCTAAAGGAATCTTCAGTGTTGGTTCTCGATGATTCATGCTACAATTAAGAAATATGTTTCAATGCAAATAATGTTAATCATTAAACTCTGTATATCAACAAATTAAAAGGTTGATAAATTAGTTCAGAATATAAACATATGCCAGAGATTAATGTAGTAGATGAATACTTTCAATTCAACTGGAGATTGATAGTCTAACTTGAAATGTTCAACGTTTTAGGAGAATGATAAACATATATATTTGCTGACTAACAGGAGGGACACAATTTGAAAGCATGCAACGAATCACAAGAGCAAAACCATGACTGAACTCCGATTCCTTTCGTGTGCGCATTAAATAGGGAGCGGGTCAATTTGTTCATATCCCCCTTGGGTTCCTAGTGGGGACATAGGGCTTCAATAGCATGCCTTCATTACACTCTGTTCTCTGTAGTCTTTCAAAACTGGCGCCACGACAGCCCACAAGCTTGTATTTCTTCCTCGCCTCACATGATCTCCATGTCACTCTCAGCTGGGACACCCAACTCGTCGTTTCCCCTTTAGATTCGACTCGAAGGCCTTGCGCGTTGTGTCCGCAATCGGCTTTCTCAGTGTATGCCCAATCCAGTCCATCTCCACTTCCTTCTGCATATGTGTTAGGTGATAGGTTCTTGGTTGGTTCGTCGCCAAAATTACTTGCTGCTTATTCTTCCTGGCAATCCATCTGATCTTCAGTATCGAGTGAGCGTAGGCGGCAGCTGTTGACGAATGTGTGTAATTTGCTGGAAGTGCTTTTCATTAATAAGTGATAAATTGAGTATCTTGCAATTCTAGAGTGAAATCGATGCTATTATCATCCTTAAGAGACACCCATAATAGTAAATTTGGAACAAATGAAATAGAAGTCAGTTATCTGTAAACTGTAGGCCAGCATCATGATAATCAGGTTCCACAAAATACAGTAACAGCAAATACCATTCAAAAGATTGGATTTCTTATGGATTCCTCGAATTCTTCATGCTGTCTTCCTCAATTTGATACTTCATTGTAATTATTTCATATACTAACCAAATATTATAGTATTTTCAAGCTTTCTTTGAGTAAGGCTCACTGAACATTTTGTTTAGGCATGATTTGCTCCTCGTATACTTTTCCACATATACAGTCTGACTAGTTACCTGATTCTAATATTTGCGGTTTGTCTTTACTGATGTGTTAGAAACGAAGTGCATAATCATAGTGTAGATTCATTATCTAGGGAAAGACTTTCTTTTACCTTATGTATGCAAACGTTTTCGCTTCAGTATACGATAAAATAAAAGCTACAGAAATCACAATTTTAGTTAGCGGCTGTAGTTTAGCACTCAAAGAATATGATGAATTTTCAAGAACACGAGTGAAATAAAATCTAATGTTCATTTATTTTAATTTAACCATTTTTACATGCATTATTACTGGACAGCGTCTTCTGTCTTTCAAATTCTTATCATATTTTCCTGTTTAGCGTGTTAATGTACTCCATTGTTATACATATTTTAAAAATAAATTATTTACGAAATAAATACAAATTAAAGTAAAAGTTAGTATTCATTCAAATATTTCTTGATATAAAATCTTTTCAGATATTCTTTTCTTCATATTTTGGACCACCAGAGTGAAACAGTAAATCACTTATCATTGAAGTTATGTTTTAGTTAGGAGCGTTTAGGAAACAAGGAGTTGAGTAATATTTTATTTCTGTTCATTCACCTTTGACTAGAATATCTTCTCATAATTAATGTATTGATGTATCATAATAAATTATATATCAAGCCTCGGAAATAAATAAAGGTTGTACTGTTTATGTTTTATGGAGTGACAGAGAGAGCTTCAGGACTAAAGGATTCAGCAAAATATATTAAATGTTCCGTATTCAACTATTTTAACCATGTGAATGGTGTATAACATATATTATCTCAACAGTAACTCGATATCCGCCTTGTGAAAACGAGTAA